ACTCTTTTCCTCCAACCGCAGGCATTAAATAAATCATCCTAATTTAAAATATAAGCATAAATATATTTAATATTGACACGTGTCAATTTTTAATTGGTTTGTTGGGTAGTTAATATTTTGATACCTCTTTTTCCAGGATGCATTTTTACATCTCGGGAAGTTGAATATCAAAATAACTACCAATTTAATTCCCCCATTGGAGATGAAAATTTATATTTTGGAGCATCAAAATAGAAGTTATTCTATTTAATTCCCCATTTAATTCCTCCATTGGAGTTGCTCTAATATAATATGTAAACTAGATATACACATCTATGTAGTACGGACACGAAAACGTGGACACGGTAAAATGGGAAAACGGATTAGGAAATTTTTATTTTTTAAAAAGTGGGATATGTTTAGGGAGCAAACTGCTTTTTACTCTAAAAATATAGGGTACATTCATAATTTTTTTTTTAAATACTATAACGTGTAACTTTGGTGGAAACGTGTTTCCAGCTGATTTTCATTATTCCTAGAAATGTTTCCGAAACTTTTAACTATTTACAAAAGCAGCCTCGAAACGTTTCCGACATTTCCCATAGATGTCATGGAGTATCAATTTCTAAAACGTGGAAACACGTGTAGATAGAAGTTTACATGCATCACACACACTATGTAGCTAGAAAATAAAATGTCCCCGAAACTTTTAAGCACGTACGAAAATGGCCTCAAAACATTTCCGACAGATGCCATGGAGTTTCGATTTGTAAAACGTGGAAACAAGTGTAAATCAAAATTTTCAATGCATCACTGACTCACACTGTATAGCTAGAAAATAAAAATGGCAGAACAATTAGAAATACACAAACCATTTCCTTAAATTACGAGAACATGATGATGAATACACAATCACTCAAGTAGAACAAAAGAAACAATTAAAAACCAAAAGGATATATGAAAGAGTACCACACATCTGCAATACACACAGGAATATATATACAATTTTTCATATTCTCCATTATTTTCTTCATGCATTGCTCCTGAAAGATCCGAGAGCTTTAATGGCACCTGCTCTAAGGACGAATTGGTGGTAGATTGCAGCGATGGCAGCTCCGATGAACGGTCCAACCCAGAATATCCACTGCACATGGATTTAATTAACAAATTCATTTTTTTTATAAATTTATAAATTAAATATTTGGGGAAATTAAATTAATTAATAAAGTGGTGGAAATTAAAAGTGTACATACATGGTCATCCCAAGCCTTTTCATTGTTGAAGATCACTGCAGCTCCGAAACTCCTTGCGGGGTTGATACCCGTTCCGGTGATCGGTATGGTGGCCAGGTGAACCATGAACACCGCAAATCCAATCGGAAGCGGGGCCAAAACCTAATTCCAATTCAAAATAAATATATCAATATTTATTTATATATATGGTATATAGATACATATAATATGTATGTACAGTAGAATTTCCATAAATTAATAGTCTCGCTTAAATAATACCATATATAGAACCTACTAAATTAATATTAGTTCGATAATTTAATATTTCGTTAAATTAATAGAATTTTACTAATGGCCACTGTATTAATTTTATAGAGATTTAACTGTATATGAAGGGAGTGCTTACAGGGACGTGGGAATCTCTGGCGCTTCTTTTGGGATCGGTGGCGGAGAAAACAGTGTAGACCAAAACAAAGGTACCGATAATCTCGGCACCCAAACCAGTGCCCTTGTTGTAGCCGAGTGCCAGCGTGTTAGCTCCACCGCCGAACTTGTTGTAGTGTGACTTTTGGAATGCTTTTACAAAACCTACACCGCAGATAGCACCCAAGCACTGTGCTACCATGTACAGCACTGCTCTTATCAGTGATACTTTCCTCGCCAAAAATAACCCAAACGTCACCGCCGGGTTAATATGCCCTCCTGCATTATTATTTCAATTAATTAATAATAATATATATTTTAATTTTTTTTTTAATTCAAATTAATTATGGCTACTAAAATGCGAAATGCACGCATTGTGTGTGTCTGTGTGTGAGATCTTATGCCGCCTAACGGCTTCTGAAGTGTTGTGACAGACGCGCTTCTGACCTGCGTTCTACTCACGCGCGAATTAATTGAAAGTAATTAAAACGGAGCCCTAATAAATTTGTATGGGACGAATAACTCACCGGAGATACCGGCGGTGCAGTAGACAAGTACGAAGATCATTCCGCCGAAAGCCCAGGCGATGCCGAGGATTCCAACGCCGCCGCACTGGTCGTACTCGCTCTGGCTTTTGTAGCCGATGACAGTCAGAACGGTGATGTACAGGAAGAGGAGGGTGGCGATGAACTCCGCAATCAGCGCCCTGTAAAACGACCATTTCGTGAGCTCGTCGTAGTCGATGAGCGGCGCCGGCGGAGGGTCGTGGTAGTCCTTGGCGGCGAACTCCGCCGCTGGCTCAGCACATTCAACTTCCTTTGCCATCAAAAAATTCCGATCTCCGAAAATGTGTGTGAAAAAAGAAATTCCGGTGGCCGGTGGTGGTGGTGGTGGTGGTGGTTTTAGTGAGTAGTCAGTAGAAAGGGGTTCGGTATTTATGGGAGAAGAGGAGTGGGGAGATGAACGTTAAATGATTAAGAGTGCCTGGATTAATTAATTAATTAATTAATTAATTAATTTAAAGTTTATTTTTTTATAGCCGCCCCTAAGGGAAAAAAAATTAAATTGGAGATTAGGCGAATAATTAACCAGAAACTTATAGCCGACCAACGTATGTAATTAGCGGCGAATTTCTTCGCTTGCATTTGCATGGGCCCCACCTTCGTCACCAACGGCTCTATATTGTTATATATTTTCGAAAAAACATGTATTTGATTAGTTGTTAATGTTATCTTCAGGACATCACTAATCATTATCTGATTATACACTTAAATTAATCATGCAAATAAACTGAGATTAGAGATGCTAATTAACTTATTTATTTAGTTGAATTGGGCACTGTGTGTGTTGTCATATGGCTGCTTTAATTAGCAATTGCCAGACGAACTTATCTGTGACACCCAAAAAGTTCTTCAATTATTTGTAGACTTGTGCTTATCGTGCTGCTTTAATATTTTCATTCACTTTTTTTTTTCGATGTGGGACAGCCTTGAAATGTGAGAATTGGATTTTTATTCAAATTCCATTATATTTTAATTCAGTGCTGATGATGTTAATTTAAAGAAAATATACAATTTATATTACTCTATTATATATTTAGATAAATGGTGAGATACGTTAGTGATAACACCCCAATCTCAATCAATACTTTGCATGATAATTAATTATTAAATGTGACAACTAATTAAATATAATTATAAAGACATTTAAAAAAAATGTATGATGGAAAATATTCTTGGATGAATAGAGAAAAAAGAGTTGGTTGCGTAGGACCACCGGCCACCGCCAGCTCAGCGGACCAGCCAATCTGTGAAGTCCATCTGTCCTGACTCACTATTCCTATCCACTCACTCCCCACCACATCATTTATGTGTTTACCTTTAATTTTCTCCTCTCACAAATATATATATATATATATATATATTAATAATATAAGAGTTTGATCATCGAAATATATTAATTAAAAAATGTTGGATGAGGTTGTCTTAAAAATCTTTAAAACTGTGAACTCTTTTTCCATGGCTAAAACTACACCACCTGTCATCTTCAATAGAACTGTACAGA